CAACCAAGAAAAAGGGGGGGGGTCCAGCACCAAAAGGGGGGGTATTGGTGGGTGCAAACCCCCCCAGAAGGTGGTGATGGTGGCCCTGGTTGCCAGGTGGTGGGCTTGTACCAGCTGTGTGGGGTAGCCAGCTCCAAAAAGTGGGTAGCCAGCACCAGAAAGGGGGTTCTCAGCACCAAAATGGGGGGGCCCAGCACCAAAAAGGGGGTACTCAGCACCAAAGGTGGGGGTGTTGGTGGATGAACCCCCCCAGAAGGTGGTGATGGTGGCCCTGGTTGCCAGGTGGTGGGCTTGTACCAGCTGTGTGGGGTAGCCAGCTCCGAAAAGGGGGTAGCCAGCACCAGAAATGGGGTTCCCAGCACCAAAATGCGGGGGTCCAGCACCAAAATGGGGGGGTCCAACACCAAAAGTGGGGGTGTTGGTGGGTGAACCCCCCCCAGAAGGTGGTGATGGTGGCCCTGGTTGCCACGTGGTGGGCTTGTACCGGCTCTGTGGGGTGGCCAGCTCTGAAAAGGGGGTAGCCAGCACCAGAAAGGGGGTTCTCAGCTCCAAAAAGGGGGGGCCCAGCCCCAAAAGTGGGGGTATCGGTGGGTGCACCCCCCCCCAGAAGGTGGTAGCTCTGGTTGCCAGGTGGTGGGCTTGTACCGGCTGTGTGGGGTAGCCAGCTCTGAAAAGGGGCTAGCCAGCACCAGAAAGGGGGTTCCCAGCACCAAAATGGGGGGGTCCAACACCAAAATGGGGGGGACCCAGCACCAAAAGTGGGGGCATCAGTGGGTGAACCCCCCCAGAAGCTGGTGATGGTGGCCCTGGTTGCCAGGTGGTGGGCTTGTACTGGCTGTGTGGAGTAGCCAGCTCTGAAAAGGGGGTAGCCAGCACCAGACAGAGGGTTCTCAGCACCAAAAAGGGGGGGCCCAACACCAAAAGTGGGGGTATTGGTGGGTGCACCCCCCCAGAAGGTGGTGATGGTGGCCCTGGTTGCCAGGTGGTGGGCTTGTATCAGCTCCGTGGGGTAGCCAGCTCCGAAAAGGGGGTTTCCAGCACCAGAAAGGGGGTTCCCAGCACCAAAATGGGGGGACCCAGCACCAAAATGGGGGGGCCCAGCACCAAAATGGGGGGGTCCAGCACCAAAAGTGGGGGTATTGTTGGGTGCACTCCAGTGATGGTGGCCCTGGTTGCCACGTGATGGGCTTGTACCAGCTCTGTGGGGTAGCCAGCTCTGAAAAGGGGGTAGCCAGCACCAGAAAGAGGGTTCCCAGCACCAAAATGGGGGGACCCAGCACCAAAAAGGGGGGGCCCAGCACCAAAAAGGGGGGGCCCAGCACCAAAAGTGGGACTATTGGTGGGTGAAACCCCCCCAGAAGGTGGTGATGGTGGCCCTGGTTGCCAGGTGGTGGGCTTGTACCAGCTGTGTGGGGTAGCCAGCTCCAAAAAGTGGGTAGCCAGCACCAGAAAGGGGGTTCTCAGCACCAAAATGGGGGGGCCCAGCACCAAAAAGGGGGTACTCAGCACCAAAGGTGGGGGTGTTGGTGGATGAACCCCCCCAGAAGGTGGTGATGGTGGCCCTGGTTGCCAGGTGGTGGGCTTGTACCAGCTGTGTGGGGTAGCCAGCTCCGAAAAGGGGGTAGCCAGCACCAGAAATGGGGTTCCCAGCACCAAAATGCGGGGGTCCAGCACCAAAATGGGGGGGTCCAACACCAAAAGTGGGGGTGTTGGTGGGTGAACCCCCCCCAGAAGGTGGTGATGGTGGCCCTGGTTGCCACGTGGTGGGCTTGTACCGGCTCTGTGGGGTGGCCAGCTCTGAAAAGGGGGTAGCCAGCACCAGAAAGGGGGTTCTCAGCTCCAAAAAGGGGGGGCCCAGCCCCAAAAGTGGGGGTATCGGTGGGTGCACCCCCCCCCAGAAGGTGGTAGTTCCGAGGTACCGAAAAAGGGGTCTGGGGGGATTGTGTTGTGGGTTTTTTTGGGGGAGGGTTGACCCAATTTGGTGATTTTCTTGGCAGGTTGTCGGGCCCAGCGGCTGGCGGTGCGGTTGACGCCGCGCGGCGTCCTCTACTCCAAGCTGACGTTGGTGGAGCGTTGGGAGGACCCCAGTCAACGGGAACCCCGCGTTTTCGGGGTGGAACTGGGCAAACTGGTGGAGAGGGAGAAGGCGCCCACCAAGGTCCCCCTCATCATCCAGAAATGCCTGGCTGAGATCGAGAAACGAGGGCTGAAGGTGACACCGGGGTTGGGGGGGGACACAGTGACATTTAAAGGGGTGATGGTGGGGACCTGGCCCCCCTTTGGCAGGGGGTGGGGTTGGACCGGCTCTGGGGTTGGTGATGGTGGCCCTGGTTGCCAGGTGGTGGGCTTGTACCAGCTCTGTGGGGTAGCCAGCTCCGAAAAGGGGGTTTCCAGCAGCAGAAAGAGGGTTCCCAGCACCAAAAAGGGGAGTCCAGCACTAAAAATGGGGGGGGTCCAGCACCAAAAGTGGGGGTATTGGTGGGTGCACCCCCCCCCAGCAGGTGGGGGT